AAAGTGAACTCAAGAGTAAGAATAATAATATCTACTGAGTAGACTATACTCTTTACTAGTTACATCACACTCATTAGTAAATTGATTAGTCTAGTAAGTAAATTAATTTAGTAAAGAAATCAGACAACTAAGTGGACTAAACTCTTGATTTAGAAGAATAGAATCTTTATTAAGTAGACTTGAATCTTTAATAAGTGGACAAACCTTCACGAAACAGACAAAAGAAATAAAGAGCATGGTTACAACAATATTTTTAACATTTTACATGGTAATTTGATAAAATTTAACCGATTAACATACATTTATCGGGGAATGTATAGATGAAATAAATGAAACTTATATGTACCTATAACAGAATGTCTCTTTGTATGTCTGCCTTTCTGTTTGCCTGTTGATCTGTCTGTCCAAAGTTGGAAGCCAGACGCTTGGAGCGAGCCTCACCCAAATTTGCAGTGGAAATGGTCTGGGTTAGGGGACGGACATAGGCTAGTCGGGAAAGACCTAAGATAACTACTTTACGAAATATTTGCAATTACACACACCTCGAGGCAATTTTTGTGGTATTTCATAGATTTAAGTGTAAAATACGAAGTGTCGTTACCGTCGAGTTGTTACTGTAAAGAAACAAAAATTTATAAAGAGGAAGGAAAAGCAAAGCATCTAAGACCAATTTGTTTCAGCGCTTCTTGAGGGAGGATGGGGAATGTCGAAGAGATAGCTATAGAACAGATAGAGAGAAAAAAAAGGTAGAGATAGAGATAGAAAGATAAGGGAAACAGATTTGATGATCAGGTAAATAACTAAGTTATCTGCAGAATGTAAAGGAAGGGTTAACTGCACTAAGACTTCATACAGACTCACACATTACATAACGATGTATTATAAAACGTATTCAGGTATTTATAATGAGTGAATGACAGTGAATATATCATGTACTGCCAGAGAGTGAAATCAATCAAACCAGTTCAGAGTCAAGCAAGTAATTAATACATACCGCTCGGCCATACATATATATACATATATTATCAGCATGTTGGAATCACACTATCAGTGCTATCAACCATTATTCGCATTCATTAAACACATTAGAGAAATACCTCTGAAGCTATGTAAAAATGTTACATTCTATACATGTATTCAAACTAACATTACAGGAAACGACAAATTTTAATTTAATTACAAAACAATTAAAATCCTCGCAATTTTTCAAAGCAAAAATGTAAATAAACAAAAATAAAATATGAATTCATGCGAGAAAATATTCTATTCTATACTTTTCTACTTAGAAATTGCAGCATTTGTATACTTTAGCTGCAACATCCTGTATTATGCTATCACATAATGTTTAAAATCAATGACTATATCCCAGTTAATATGCATACACAGCTCAAGGGATATATTCACAGCTCAAGGGATATAATATACACAACTCAAATTATATTTACACACCTTAATGGATATGTACAGAGGTCATGGGATATATACACAGCTCATGGGATATATACACAAAAATATGTAGCAAGCTTCTCGGTGTATATATACACTGGGAATTTACTTTAGTCTTGGACTATATTTAGGGATAAAGTAATCTTACTAATTGATCAGTAAGGTACTCACGTTGCCTTAATAACCTTTCATAGGTTGATAGACGTTATTGCCAACGCCAAACTAATCTGTCACCCAGACGCCTTAGGTCTTCGTAGGAGCTGTCATTCAAGGAGAGGCCACTAGAGGAGACTCTCTCATCATACATACCGTCCTCTCATTCATGCTCCTTAGCATCTTCATTCATCTTTCTATTCCATTCCTCCATTCCTTTATTCCTTCATGTTCTCTGTCACCTCGTACTTTCTTTATCTCAAACTCTGTATCTCCTGTCCCCACACTTCATTTCACTCCTTCAAAGTCTCTATCCCATAAAAATTTCTTTATCTCGTTAAAGTTCTCTATCGACTCCTCCATACTTTCTTTCACTCCAAGTTTTCTAATCCCCCAAAAAACTTAATTTCACTTTTCCAAGCTTTTGATTTTCACACATCCTTTACTATAGTGTTCCGTTCTCCATCCCTAAGGGACTGGTCGACTGCATCTACAATATGATCTCATAATTTGACCCTTCACGTTAAAGTGAAGCATGCAATGCCTGTCTGTCTGTTTGTCTGTCTCTGTCTCTCTGTCTCTCTGTCTCTCTCTCTCTCTCTCTCTCTCTCTCTCTCTCTCTCTCTCTCTCTCTCTCTCTCTCTCTCTCTCTCTCTCTCTCTCTGTCTCTCTGTCTCTCTGTCTCTCTGTCTCTCTCTCTCTCTCTCTCTCTCTCTCTCTCTCTCTCTCTCTCTCTCTCTCTCTCTCTCTCTCTCTCTCTCTCTTTCAGAACAACGATTTACAGGACTGGATTAGAACTGGTAATAAACTACGACTCAGAATAATTATGGAGTGAATAACACATTACAGCTCACAGGATAACAGTATAGCGCTCCATAAACAGGACTATGCTAGTGAGCTCAATAATCTGCTGTTTGCAGTATCATTATGGTTCGTAAAATAAACCACTACTCATTGGATCAGTATGGGTTAAACAATAAATAACAACTCACTGGATCAGTGATTGGTGTACAGTGAATTAGACGAGATAGCAGCACACAGGATAAGAATGGGGTGTACAATTTTCTAGACTAAGGCTCACAGGATCAGAATGGGGTGCACAATTAACTAAGCTATTATGCAGATAATTAAAGCGCTCCTCGACCTCCGGGACCCATAACCGGACAATTTGTGGGATGAGGTAATCGACCTCCACAACCTTTCTCCGAATAGGCAAATGATGAGTCACAATAACGTGACTGAAAAATGTTGACAAAACTTTCTTTCAATTTTCCAAGCCCTTGATTTCCACACATCCTTTACTATGATAAACTGATCCTGTCATCGACTTGATAATGGTCCAGGACGGACAGAAACGTCATCGTTTCTTTAATTTCTAGTGTGTGGTTTGGTCAACACTTTCTCCGAATAATTAGCGAGACAAACCTGATCGACCTCAATGACACTTCCCTGAACAATTTGTGGAATGAGCTGTTCGACCTTCATCCCCCATCCCCCAGACAACTTGTGAAATGAGCTGATCGATCCACACGACACAAAACACACAAACTCTCGTAATAGGTCGGTGAGGCGAGCAATTAGCGTCACTGGAATTGGGATTTGTCTAAGGCCACACACTTCTGTTGCTGAAAAAGACGGCATTGTACCTTCCCAAGGCGCCCCTCTCGTCTACTTCTCCAAGACGAGGGAAAGGAGACGGAGGTAGGTGTTGTAGGTGTATAGTGGGACGGAAGGTGGGTGTAGGAGTGAGAGTTGAAGTTGGGAGGTGTAGGGGTGATCAACTGGATCACGAAGAGTGGTTGATGATGAGCAGAGGTGCGAGGGTAGAGATATGCAAACTGGGGAAATTAGAACTGAAAAGAGGAAGGAGAGAGAGAGAGAAAGAGAGAAACGAGAGAAGAGGTGGTCAGAGGTTGCACGGAGGAAGGTGAGAGTTTATTGGTCCTGTATATAATCACGTCCGTAATGGCCCATGGGGGAGAGAGCTTGTGGCTCCATTCCTAATGCATCTTTTTTCTTTAAACATGGCCGGTCCATGGGGGGAGTGGAACAATTAACCGATACCTGAGACTTCCATTATTGTTATAGTGATGGTGATGCAGCTTAGGTCTATCATCTAGTGCTGGAGTTTCTCCGTTATTCACGTTGAGAAAATGTTTATTGAGCCATTTATTGAATGCACCAGCTTCAGTCAGTGCACCAACTCCAGTCATTATATCATCTCCAGCTAGTACTCCATTTCCAAAGTTGAGTACAATGATTCCCTCTACGTTAGCTTTAGATTTCGGCCCACATATACCCTACCTTGTATAAGATCTGTCACCAGTGTCTTACATCCAAGGCCTCAGTTACTGCACAGAGTTTGAGCTGAGAGATGGAACGGTATCCTGATCGTGGCACTCTACCCAGGACACTAACCCAGATGCTCATTGAAGGAAAACATACTACAAGGCACTCCACTTGAGAGATAAAATGTACACATTGGGGTAATACCTTTAAAAGACTAAAATAATCACCAAATGTTTAGAGTTTAGAATAAGGAGAAGACTATAGAACAAATACGGACTTGCTATATCCCCAAGAAAAAGGACATTTTATATATAATCAACTGGGATATCAAGGTCGATTTTGCCAGTCAGCATTGTTCTCATCCGATAATTAATCCATGCTTGCAAAATGTTACATCAGTATCTGTAAAATGTCGCACCCATCCGTGAAAAGTGCTGCATCCATTCTTGCAAAATGTTGCATATAACCCTGCAAAGTGTTGCATCCATCCCTATAGAGTGCTCCGTCTATCCATGCAAAATATTGTATATATCCATGCGAAACGTTACATCCACTTCTGCAAAGCTTTGCATCCATCTCTGCAAATTGTTACATCCATCCGTGCAAAGTGTTGTATCCATTCATACAGTGTTGCACCAATCTCACCAAAATGTTGCTTCAATCACTGCAAAGTTTGCATCGATCCCTGCAAAGTTACTTCCATTACTACAAAATGCTTCATTCATCCTACCAGGCAATACCTCACACAATATGACACCTGTCAGAAACAAATGCTCTAACAAAAATATATATGCCAGTCGTATGTCACAAACCTGGCAGCAGTCGTCTGGACAAAATTAAGGGACATATATATATATATATAAAATAACAATGTAACATAAAATAACAATCTACCATAACATCTGTGGATTTGGAACGTGTCACAAAGCAACGAGCGAGATGTACATATTTTCTACACAGATGAAGACTATCAGAAACATGAAGTATAAAACGTGTGTTTGGAAATATTGAGGTTTTAAACCCCCTCTGGCTACTCTGCAACAAGTTCCGAATGTGTAATTAATTTATTTAATATCAGGATTCACATGTAAGTAGGAAATCTGCGCCCCTACCTTAGTCAACTTTTGTCTTGAGTTATTAACGAAGAAAACTTGACAGTGTTATAATTCACAACAGTCTATATTTTTTTTTTACATTCTATATATATAAATTCTCTTGTTATCACTTCACATTATAATCACGAATGACAATATTCAATTCAACCTCTATTTATCATTATCGGGTTCACACCACACGATCTACTCGAAAGAGATAATGATCGTTAATGCAGACGTTCAAAACAAGCCAATTAGACCACTATTTGTGTACACTGGCCAGTTGTGGAGCCCACGACACACATCCACCCCTCACGATGGCTAGGCCCGCACTGAGGATCCTTGCGCCCCGCACAGCATCCCGAACCCCCAACCCCCATCCACCCTCTCTCTCTCTCTCTCTCTCTCTCTCTCTCTCTCTCTCTCTCTCTCTCTCTCTCTCTCTCTCTCTCTCTCTCTCTCTCTCTCTCTCTCTCTTTCTCTCTCTCTCTCTCTCTCTCTCTCTCTTTTCCGATCTAATAAAAGTTGAAAGATACTATATTCCATTAACTAAACATATTATTGTCAGACAAAATTTCAATTTAAAAAAAAAAAACTTTTCTAACGAAGACAAGTAGGTACAGTTTTGCGCAAACTCCGTTTAATGTGCAGTGACATGATTATTACTGCAAATATTAAACACTGATCTCCGTGCACGTAGACAACGCACGTCTTCAGTGTTTTAGGCAGCCGCCGTTACCAGAGGTGATAAAGACGTTACTTTACCTGTTAACAAATAGAACACGAATGAAAATAACATTTACTAAGACAAAGTGTGCATTGAGATGGACGAGAAACCCTCGATCATCCCCAAAGAGTTGACTTCGAGGATCGATGAGGGGAAAGGACAGGTGGAGAGAGAAGAGGAGTAGCAAAGGGAGGCTAAGAGGAGAGGAGAGAAGGTGGTGATAATCCCTCCATTACTGCCCGAGGCGGGGGTCCCGCCGGCCAGGCTGTTAAGAGATTTGTAAGTTGTTTCTTGTCGCAAATTCTGTAGCGTACCTGATCAATACATGTCGCTCGAGTAATCTTTTTCCAGAATATTAGTTCCAGCTGTTGCCTACCGGTAGGACGAATTTCGGTGAAATAATTTGTGAACGTGATTCACGTAGCACCTACGTGTTTAGCTACGAGATAAATACCTTATACCTCATCATGCATACTGGTTAGTGTTTACTAAATGGCGTACGAGCTCTGCTCGCTAAGAGGTCGTCCTCAGCCCAAGGTTATAATTATTATAAACGAGCTCGCACGCATAACCTACTTTATCTTCCCTGTCTGATGATCTGCAACCACCTGAGGTTTTGGCGTTGGTGACGTGTGCTTTATTATGTAGGCATCTTGAGTGCCTGGTTCACTTAGGCATATTTTATTAGTATAAAATATGGCTCTATTTTAGACTAGACTCGGATTCATGGCGTAAGGTTACTCGGTCATACTCTTGATGAATTCGTTAGTATTGTCTTACTCACCGTGTCTTAAGAGCATTGATATTCAGTTACTGGGGCTGCCGAGACGATTTGGGAAATGAAAGTGGCCAGCCAGTACACCAGCTCCAGCCAGTACACCAGATACACTTCACTGTGATGCCGGTGGCCAGAGATTAATATAAAGTTTCTGATTATTGCCGTGTATCCGAATGGCGCTCCCACTGATGGATTTATTAGTGCCTTACTTTGAGTGGAAATACAATAGAAACCTAGAACAATGATTTGATGAATGAACAGTCATCAACAGTGATCTTCACACTTAATTGTTTTGAAGTATTAACTTAATGAGAGTGGGAAGCACAGTTGAACTTTCTTTGAATCTGTTCAATGGTGTTGTAGTGCTGGTGGATGACTGGAGATTCTACTCACAGTTTTCTGATGTTTTCTTCTTCGATGATGAGTTTGCAAAGAGACCGTTTTCCGCAGCATCATCCTGTCTCTTTCTCGTAGGGTTTCTGCACCTGCATTGTCTAATGCAGAGTAATTCTCCGTGATGTTCTCCCAGCTTGGACAGTCTGTGCCGCTGTTCTTAAATCCATAACTCTTATTTTGCCTTCCAGTAGAACGTTTTCCCTATTGCAGGTCACCGTTGAATATGTTCTCAATCAATATGTCATCGGACATGTGCACAACATGTATTGTGATGCGAGGCGGTGCAAGAACGTCTTATCTGGCACTTTGTCCTTAGCGTTTGTTTTTGCATGGCAACCGTAAGAAGAACAGATCTGACAAACATAGGTGAGGGCGGCCAGGACCACCGCTGAGTAGACTTTAGTTTACTCTCAATTTTAATGCCTTTACGAACCCAGTTGCACTAGTTCTGTTGCAAGGATCAAAGTCTTACAACAGCTGCACTAGTTCTGTTGCAAGGATCAAAGTCTTGCAACAGCTGCACTAGTTCCGTTGCAAGGATCAAAGTCTTGCAACAGCTGCACTAGTTCTGTTGCAAGGATCAAAGTCTTACAACAGCTGCACTAGTTCTGTTGCAAGGATCAAAGTCTTGCAACAGCTGCACTAGTTCTGTTGCAAGGATCAAAGTCTTACAACAGCTGCACTAGTTCTGTTGCAAGGATCAAAGTCTTACAACAGCTGCACTAGTTCTGTTGCAAGGATCAAAGTCTTGCAACAGCTGCACTAGTTCTGTTGCAAGGATCAAAGTCTTGCAACAGCTGCACTAGTTCTGTTGGAAGAATCAAAGTCTTGCAACAGCTGCACTAGTTCTGTTGCAAGGATCAAAGTCTTGCAACAGCTGCATTAGTTCTGGCGATCCTGGTATTTACCTCCTCATCGATATTGATTGACAGTGATAGAGTACTGCCGAGGTATGTAAACCAGTCCACGTTGAGCCTCTGGCCACTGACGATGATAGACGGCTCAGTATAGTCACAGCCAGGAGTGACTACACTTGTGCAGAACCTCGGTCTTTTTCCATTCACCTGGGCTCTAGGAGACTTGGTCTGTTTGGTAAAGATGGTGAGGCGGAAGTTCATGCAAGTCGTGGACAAAAGATCCGTAGTGTATTGCATGCCAACCTCCGTACTGGATTTGAGGGATCAGTTACTCGCAAATAGAGTCACAAATGGTCACATTTCGAACTTTGGTTCTGGCCTGAAGCTTCCTTAAATTGAATAGCTTCCCGACTAACCGGTAACAAGGGGTCTCTTCACTTTCTAGTGTGTGGTTTGGTCTAAATATGAGGCTTGAAGCCAAAATGAAGCCTTGTTTCACTCCGTTTGGAACCGCGAATGACTGAGTAACTGTCACAGTATTGGACTCTGGCAAGCATGCCATCATGGAATTGTTTCACCAGTTTGATGAAAGTGTCTGAGCATCCAAATTTGGCCATAGTCCTTCAGGTCCCATCCGGCGGAAAGTATCAAAACCCTTCGTTAGATCCACAAAGGTGGTGAAGAGCTAGACATTCTGCTCCTGACATTTTTCTTGCAGTTGTCTGGCAGCAATGATCCTATCAATAGTACCTCGTTCTTTCCTGAATTCCCCGAAAGGACACTTGCTTTTCGTCAAGAGCGCTTGATTGAGGTGATGCGTGAGTCAGTTCAAAAGTCCTCTGGCAAGGACCTTTCCTGCGATACAGAGCAGAGAAAATCCACTGTACTGATCACATGATTGGTGACTTCTCTGGTGCTGGTAAAAGTGAAGGGCGGATGTGCTTATGTTTCCACGTCTTATAGAACATCACAAATTACATAAGGTTCTTTTATATTAATGTAACTAATTATGGAAAGCAAATTTTATCTATATTTAGCTTGAATTCTCTCCATAGGTATTGTGCAATATTCTTTATACATAATAACTGCATGACATTTCAGACGACGTTACAGGAATGGTTTTGGACGCATAAAAATACTTTTAATATGTTAAGCTGTGATTGTTGTTATGTAGTATTATCACACAATACGATAGTCATTGTTTACTTGGCTTTAAAATAACTTTTAATTAAGGTGTTGAAGCTCTAATGCGAATTTCACTGCAAAGTAATGTGGAAATCAAGGAACGTTTGATTGGGAGGTTAGTAAGCATCACGTGTTAATGTGTAGCAGAAAGCCTTTGCTCCTGAAATTAAACAGTGTCATTGCTTGATGTTTATTTTTTGTTGTCTATTTAATTAAAAGAGCCAACAACAATTTTAAGATTTCAAATTAGCATTTTAAGACTTATAGTCTTTTAATTATGAACTAAAAATAACTGAATTACTCTGTTGGTAAAGAGATATATTTAGAATATTTAAAAATACAGTCTATATACAAACACACACACTAATCAGTTACAGAATTGAAAGAAAAAATTTAAAACAAAATTAGTTTTCACTCCCTAAGGGTAACTCCACCCGACTTTATTCCATGCACTCGGATATATTCCTAGTTAAAGAATTTTCGCTCGTTTTCTCAGGAATAACAAATAATGGCACATGTATTATTTCCCTGCCTTATAACACCAACATGTGACCTGCAAATTGCTTACATTATAAGAAACATTAAGAGTTGCTCGAGGGGCAAGTTAAATCGACGAGAAATATATTCAACTCTTCTTCTTATTATTATTATTGTTATTATTATTATTTAGAGTACGTGCAGCTTGCGTGAAGGGTCCTCTCCTTTTAGGAAAGGTCCATCCTTTTAATGAAATAATATTATATTGATGAAATGCCTGTTTAACCCTTTGGGTTTTGTTGCATATACATTTAAAACCGTGTATGAAATTGATAATGAAAATCGTTGTTTCCAAATAGATTTTGTAATTTGATAGAAAGTTCCCTTTTTGGATTCAGATTTACTGTTGAGGAGAGCCAGTTAGAAATTGTTTACAAACTAAACTTTAGCTTAACAATATAGTAAATACGTAGCACATGGTTGTATGTCCTGGCGCTCATCGCCTACCAGTAGGAAGCGGAGCGTCACCAAGACACTCGCAGTATATTATAAATATCTCGCCATTATAGGACCGTGTGAGGAGCTCTGAGGCTCTTGATGGCACACACGTGAGCACGTTTCCGAGCTCTGCTCCTATGTCAGTGTTCCAGCAACACGCTTGAGAACACTGACAAGCGTGTCGTAACACAGGGAATTGTTCAGGCAAGCGATGCAACGCTTGCACCCAGTGTGTCCTAATTATCAACACATAAGAACGGATCTGTGTGCAGTAAGTTTGCATTAAAATCAGTCGCCTCATTGTTGTCTTTCCTACATAAAGTTTTATTATATCTGAATTACTTGTTTTTAGTATAATGATATTGTTAATTATGATATATACACAATTCAGTAATATAATAATTATTA